CTTTATTTAAAAACAAATTAATGATTCCAAGAAGGTTTTTTTGTTTTTTAAGCTTCCTCTAAGAGGAAATATTAAAAACAATACATCAAGTAATTGAGAGACTTCTTAAAACCTAATATGTGGAGGTTTCATTGCAAAATGAAAACCAAAGAGCGTGCTCTTAAGGCCATATGATGTGAGGGCTAAAATACTCGATGGTTTTCAGTGGCATCCATGCCTAATTCCTGATATTTCCACAATTTTAATTACTTACAAAGGGCTCAATGCAGTACTGAAGTACTTGCTATTCCATTATAATTCTTTGACAGGAAAAATGGGAGCTTGCCCAAAATCCTCTTTAGTTTCATTTTCTTTCTTGAAATCCTTCCCTGCTTTCCTTTTTAACTTTGTCATATTGTTTGGATTAGGACAGATTCAATTTTAAACAACCTCCCTACCAGCAAAGGGAGACAGGAGCCCAAAGGGGTTTGTCACATGCAGTTGCTATGAAAGATCCAGCTTGGTTGGGCTGGAGTGTGCAGTGACTGGGAGTGTTTATCCTGCTATTTCTGTCTCTAATATTTCTGCCTCTAATATTTTCTGCCTCTAATATTTTTGTATTTCTGCCTCTAATATTTTTCAGTATTTTGGGAAAATAAGAGATCATGCTGAACTGAACTCTTAAACGATGAGAGAAGTATTTTCATTTATCTTATTTATCTATAAGCATTTGTGAATAATCTCTGTTTTACCTGGTATTCCCCCAGATGAGAATCAAGATTGCTCTGTCTACTTGTCCCGACTCCCAGGTCAGCACCCCTCATTTTTTTTAAGTAAGAGCTGAACAGCCAGCGTGGCTGTGTTGATAGAAACTATTTTTTACCAGCGCCCTGTCTTCTCTGTGAAGTTTGGAGGGCAGCTTGATTCCATTTTTGCACAGTGCTTAATAATGTAAGACATCTTTATAGCGCTCTAATATGATCAGCTACAGTGGTAGATTAGGAAAAACTAACCAGAAGAATTAGATTCAGTCCCTAGAATTAAAATTATTTGAAGGGATTTCTCACCAGCCATTTTCTTCCTTTCTAAGGAAGGACTAAATGATATGCTTGCACATAAGTTAATGTACATATTTTCTTGCATCATTGCTATGGACTTCAGCAATTGGTCTTTTTTTTTTTGGGTAGGGTAATAAGGAAAAGTTACACTCTTTTTCTGGTAACCAAAAAGCCACTCACAAATTTGATTTTAAGATTGGCCTACCTCAGAAGAGATATTTTGAGGACTATTCTAAAAAACATAATCTTGGCTTCCCTTTTCTCCAGCAACTAATATTTTTTCAGGTAGGGGCTCACATGCTCGGTGTTAAACAGTGTTGTACCATGTAAAGACATGCTGAATAATGTATGCATGGTATGTATATTTATAGAGAGTCTCATGGAATCATAGAATGGTTTGGGTTGGAAGGGACCTTAAAGATCATCTAGTTCCAGCCCCCCTGCCATCTCTTGGTGGCACTACAGGTTATAATAATAAAAGTGTAAAGCAAGAACCCTATTTTATATTTTACAAACATCTTTTTTTCTGTCAAAGAGCTAATACCAAGTTTTCAAAACATGGCAAAACGATAATGTATTTTAAGAGTGTAATTTCTTGGTGCTTTCAAGATAGTGGTAAGCCTGTTGAATAGTGAAGTGGTAAGATAATTTTGATTTCTGCTGAATACTGTTTCATGGCATTTTTGTGTCAAGGCCTATTGAGAAGTTCCAACCTGCTTAGTTTTCCATCAGGTAGTTCTTGGTGCATACTGAAAGTTATTTTGAAATAATGTGATACATGCAAGCCCAAGACCTGAAAATTTGAAGTGACTGTATGAAGGTTGCTCGAGTAGCTGTAGTTCAGCACTTGTTGCATCTGCATGTTGCTAAACCCTCAAGTTACGTCTTTGTACACGGTTCGTTCTGCGGGAAACCTGTCTCAGTGCTAAAGATAGATGTCTCATGTTGCAAAGAGAAGATGACACGAAGAAAACATGACATTCTTTTTTTAATTTAGGGGATGAGACTGTGTTGCAAGAGCAGTAAGGTCTGCTCTCTCGTACTCTGTGTGCAAGGGGGGTGAACTCGGAAGGGAATGTTGCTTCTGACGTTTGCTAATTTTTTTCAAACGCTTGACTTCTAAAGATGAATGTGTTTATTGTAATTTTTGTATGTAATAAAAGGTACTTTAAAAGTTAGCCATTAAGACATTAAAATTATTTTCAAAATGCCAGAGGAAGTCAGTACTTTAAAAGTGGAATAAATCAAAGCACAAGGTGCACTATTCATTGTGTTCACTTGTGTCACGGTTTAGCCTTGTGACTGGGTAGTCTCTTCCTTCCGTTACACATTAAGATTGCCAAGGATAGCTGACAATTAATTTTTACAATATAACTTGACACAGCTTCAGTCTCTGTAAACATCAGGGAAGTTAAGTAAGATTTCTAATTTAGAGCAAAGGAGACATGACTTTTTGTCTGTCATACTGTATGTGCTTGATTCCCACTCAGGATGATTTTTTCAAGTTGCTGTGCCCTTTGTGAAGATGCTTTGCTGTTTTGGTTTCAGCTTTACAAAGCAAACAACGTTCTTTGCTCACTTGGTAGCGTGTTTCAGAGGGTGGCACAGTCGTTGGCATCTCTTCTTTCATGCTGAATAAAGCTACTGTTGCTTGTGAGGAGAATTACAACTGTGTTTGTAAGTGAAGAAAAAGCAGGATTTGACTTCTTAAACTGTATTTAGTGTAGGCATCCTGCTCAGGTTTATGTATGAGATTCATGTATTATCTAAGCATCAGGATATAAATAACAATATTTCTTATTTATTTTCTTCATCTTTTAGAACAAATAAGAGAATATAAACTGGGGGGGGGCGGGGGGAATCCTACTACGTGAGCTTGTTTCCCATATGCCCAGAGAAAGGCAGAAAGATGCATACAAATGTTCAGCATGTGCAAGTTTCTTGGTGCATGATTGGTTCCTTACTTGGGAGCGGAATTCAGTGAAATAGGACTCCTCTTTTAAAAACAAAGAGTCAGCGTACAACAAAGGATAAGTGATCAAATGATTAGCCAGAGGCTAATGGGAATGCAAGGGAAGAGTGACAGATTACATATTAGGAGGAAATCTGATCTGGAAATTAATCTGGAGCTTTCTGCAGCTGAGGCTGCAAAAGAACTAATTTTTAAATCTTTTTTGAAGGACATAAATATATGAAAAGTGTCACTTGCTTGTTTATAAAGTATTGTATAATACAAGAAAGAAGGCTAATGCATAAATAAAGTTGAATTATAATTTAGAGGAATTTTCCTTTAGTTTTTTAAATATCTGCCTTTGCTTAGGGTGGAATACACATTTGCCTGTAGCTTAGCATGAGAAATTGTGTTAATTTACTTAAAAATTCAGGTGATTTAGAAATATGCATGCTGTAAGGATCTGTGGTTAAATCTACATTCTGTTGTATGCAAATAAGAGTAAAATCAAGACAGCAGATAAATACCTCACCAGACACAATCAACAGCTACATGTCAACAGGGAAGTATACTTGAATATTGGAAAAACCTGAGCTTTTAATTATGAAGAAGTGAATATTTCCTTATTTAGTGACCTACCAAATGGTTTTAATTTAACCTTGCGGTAGGTAAATGTCACTTTGTATTAAAAGAATTTGCTTTCTTTATGGAGACCACGTTCCCTTTCTTAAAAATTTAACATGAGCTGTTCTAGTACAGCAGTGTCTTAGTCCACAGATTTTTTAAGGTTCAAAACATTCCTTTTAAAAAACAAACATTCAAATTTGAGCTTATGGAACTTTTCTGGCTTACCTGTTTTAAATTTATGTTTTAATTTTAAAGCATTAATAAATAAACCATGGTAAAATTCTAAAGAATTAATAAATATAGAAGAGTAAAATTTGAGTACAACAGCTGAATTTTTATCAAGGTTTAAATGTAACTAAACTTTTGTTGGATGTTACTAAAATTACTTGCTGCTGAAGCATGGAAATTAGTTTCATGTAGGCTTTGATATTCGTTGAATCTGTAAAGCTTGATTTTCCTGAGTAATTTTCTGCTGTTTTTTGATTCATATAATTACTTGCTGCTTATGTAAAAAAAAAAAAAAAAAGGGATGTGAACAGTATGTGAAGGTATCAGGTTAGTATAAGTTGTGATTTAAAAATCCCTCTTATTTATGCCTTTGATCCTGTTATATAGTAAAGGAGAAAAGTGATACGGTGAAGTAGCTTTTGGATTTCCATGTATGCATCATTGCTTTATTCTGAATAGAATTATAAATGCTTTTCAAATTTCAGGTCGACACTACTATAGAATAACTAACAATTTATCTTCTAGTTGGCAGTTCCTGCATAGTTTTGCACTTTATGTTGTTGTTGGGATCTTGGTGGTAGGTTTAGTATGAGAAACTGGGATCTGTCACTGATAATCCTCTTACCTCCAAGGGCCAAACCATCCAGTAGATGAAGAACCTTTAAAGTCCTATTGTCTTTAAATTTGTCATACATTTATTTAGTACAGCAGCAATTGAGCAACAATAAAAACTGAGTCTTTAAGAACTATTTTATTAATAGAAGCAAATCTTACTATTTATTGTCATCATTAACAAAAGAGGAAGAAGTGCTGTAGCCTTGCAGTCTGTCTCAAGCCTGTAGGTCTGTATTCCCAGGTAAGAGGTCAGGCCTATGTATTGTCTTGCCTTTTAGTCCTTTGTATTATGCTTTCCTTGTTTCAGGGCTCACATTGTAACAGTCTCTTTGGAGGCATTAGCTGACATTGGTACAATACTTGGGGATTTGCAGCTATTTTTAATGGAAGTGTATGAGAAAATAAATTCTGATTCTGGTGCCATAGTGTCTAATATATAGCTGAGATGTTCCAGTTGTAACCACTCTGGTTAAGCCATGCTCTTTGTTGCTACCAGAGATATTGGTATTGCTCTACTAAATCTGTTCTGCTTCTATTTGCAGCTATGTCATCTTATCTTTTAATTGTTAAGTCTGAACTTCCTGGTGCTGTTGCGGGATTCTTAAGTGGAGACGAGAGCGGGTAAGGAAAAATGCTTCAAACATTCTGTATTTGTCTTGAAGAGGAAAGTGGTTCGGGACTGCTGAAGGAGATGGGTACTGACACTTCCTTTTGATCTCACAGACCAAAAAAATTATTTATTTACAGGAGTTCTTGGAATATGAAATGTATTCGGCATGTGCAAGCCTTCTGCAGCACACACACACACAGAGCGTGATTCTTTCCTCATAGCAATTTCCCATCAGAGGACCTTTAAGTCAGTGGCAAAACTCCATCTACAGAAATCTCCCTTCTATAAAAATTTAAAAGGGGAAGCAGGAGAGGACAGGAGGGAGAGGAGGAGAAACATTTAAACTGCTGTCATATTATCACTTCATGTATTTCAAAACCACAGTACAAAAACTGGCAGATGTTTAAATTTAAATATTTTGTTGTCTTGCTCCAGTAATTGGACTTGTCTTGGGAAGAATGCCAGATTTCCAGACTTGGTTTATAATTCCTTAACCTGGCTCCCAGTAAAGAAATCATTCTTCACAGCTGAGCTATAAAGCTATGAGTGTGTCCCTCAGATTTCTAGTAGAACTGTCACAAGAAATCTGTGCCTGTGCCAAGAGGAATGTTGCAGCTTCACTACTGAGATACCTTGTTCTAGTTGTTCCAGTGCCTCTGCCATTCATAACAGTGTATCTGAGATTGTGTTATGGCTGTTTTTTATACTACTGGTTTCAGATGTTTTGAGTTCAGAGCTTTTCTGGATTGAAATATGGTGAAATTGTCTCAATGCTGTGTGATGCTTGTAGTATTTCTGAATGCTGTGGGTGATTTTTAAGTTTGAAATTATTTTTTAACAAGTATTTTAGTTCATTTTATATTTTTTCCTTAATAACTTCTTCATTTTATCACAAACATTTTGAGAAATGAAGTGTGGCAGTAATCTTGCTTTCTGTCTTCCTGCCCTCCTGGCCCTTGCACTAGCATGTTTTTAGTAAGGGGCCTTTTTTTAAAAAGAAACTATTATGTTTTATGTGTATATGTCATTTTTAGTCTGTTAATGTATCTCTTCCAGCTGTGGTAGTCATCAGCTTTTCATTTAGGTGCTATCACCTTTTCCTTCAAGATCATACTTTTAACTCCACTCTTCACACACAGGCGTTGAGCCTGGCTACTGTATCTGCTGCATGTGCGCTCCAGTCTGCCTGTCCCCAAATTTAGCACATAACATCACCTACAACTGGTTTTAATTTTATGTCAGCTCTGTTGATGCAAAGTGACTTCTCCCAACAAAGATATGCTTTTAAAGAAACAGCTTGTGAGAACTTGTAAGAGGTAGAATCTGCAGGTCCTGCATGCAAACGTGCTGCTCAGAGGATTGTTCTGTCTAAAAAAGGCAGTATAAACAACTTCTTTATTAAGCTGCCTGTCTGATAACACTCCTATCAGCTTTACCTGTTTATCAAGGTCCAGTGCAGATCTGGATGTGAACACAGGTGAAGATGCAGGCAGGTTACAATGGTTGAACTGGTTATTACGAATCATCCGAGCCATGGTAATTCTCAGTGTGCCATCAGCGCTGCCACCACCCATACTTCTTCCTTAGTTGGAATTACAGATGGAGATGGGAATGAAGTTCAATTTTGTATATAGAAAGAGCTGAAATTGTCCATGGGAATACTAACCACAGCTCAAGTGGTAACCTGGTTGTCAGTCCGGGTGTCATCATGTTCCTGCCTCTGTCATTGGGGGTTTTTCCATTGCTAAATGTTTATTTAACACAATTTGACTCTTCTATTCTTTGCCCAAGTGAGTGTTTCAGATGCAGTGCTCAAGCAGTATTCCAGGTGCATGCCCACAGCTGACCTTCTCTGTGAGCCCACATCTATATTTCATATATTCTGCCATATTAATTGCCATGGTAGATCATAGCATTTTGTTTCTCTGTGTTTCTTCATGGATGTTAAGAGTAACTTTTGCTAACAGAGTTTTTAAATTGTAGGAAATTGTTCAACAGAATCTGGTAATCAAATACCAAGCCTAAGTAGCAATTTATTTATGCAAAGGGCATAAATACTGACTAGCCTGATTAAACTATTTTAACTAGACTACTAGTTTCCAGATGTGGTTACACAACTGTTCTGTTCTTGTTAAGTCATTATAGCATCTGATACACTTTCATCTGGGTGCAGAATTTATCTTTAACTGAAGTTAGACTGTATAAAAAGTGTCAGTTAAACTGTCTGTGAAAAGTGTTTTCTGTGCATACACCATCCTGCCGTTTAAAGAATGTTTTACGCTTTGAATTGTTTTTATAGATAAAGGATAGCAGGTGTGCCTGTGTTGGAAAGACTCAGAGCCAACCTGTAATACATCTTTGTGTCTTTATTAAAAATCAGGAACATACAATATGAAAACTTGTTAATTGGGAGTTGAGATATTTCAGTTTGTCTGCACAACAAGAATTCCACATAGTTTTGGGGGCATGAACGTAGTTTCAAATGAGGATTGTGTTAAAAAGTTGTAATTTGTGAGCCCTCTGTTAACATTTAATGACCCTGTCAGGAGGATATGATTGATGCAATTAAGTTGTCTTGCTTGTGTGTTATATAATTGATATGGACTGAGAGTAAGATTCTAATTTAGAACATATGATTCTCTTGTCCTGTTGCATTCAGGAATGAAATTAAAGCGATTTATAAATGTCTGCTTTTAGTTAAAATATGGGAGAAGGAGGAGGAACATCTGCATGCTGAAGTGTTTTCAGTAGAGTCAAGGATTTATACTCTATATTTCATATTTGGAACACTTATCATATGGGCTTAAATTTGCAGATCAAACCGATTTTAAAGGCAATATCAAAATATTTATTCTGCCTTTGGAAAATAAGTGCATTTCTACAACAGTATTTTGGGGGAAAAAAAATGAACACATTTTTTGATAACCAGTGCGTGGTCCACTATTCAGTCTTTTGACATCTTTTTAAATAAAAGGATTGTTATTCCAAAATTAAACCATTTACAAAATGATTTTTTTCTCCTTCCCATTACCTCACTGCAGTTTTCCTCTCTCTTTTTCCCTGCCTCTCTCCCACAAATATTTTTTCATTTACTATAAAGTAACCAAAATAATTTTTCCTCCAGCCTGCTGAGCTTGTGAGCTACGATGGCAACTGTGGATTTGCTACAGGCTTAGGTTTGGAAGGCTTGAAACAGAGGTCCCACATGTACAGATCTGAGGCATTTAAGCTAACCTTACACATGGTGCAGCCTTCGTTATGCCTTTGCCTACTGCTGTTATACTGTAGCTCCTCATCTGAACATCCACCATACTAGAAAGAAAGAAAAAGTTTAAAAATATGTGAATGCTGAATGTTAACAGCATGAAGAATACTACAGCAGGGAGCTGATCTGGCTCCTTGGCAAAGTTGCTTTTTCATTGTAGCACTAGCACACCTAGGCGAGTAATACATTTTTTAGAAGAGTGACGTATTTTGAGTAATTTTAAAAATAGACATTATTACTTAAGGTTTCCTTTGATTTTTGATGCGGCCAAAATGTCTTCAACCTTGAAATTTCTCTGTTCATTGATATTGCATTTTTTTTCAAACAAGTGACACAAGTGGTTGTCCATGGTGTGTGACAGTAATTAATACATGTATGTGGTAATTTTTCTTTAACACAGGTGTTATGCTACTTTCCTTATGATAACTTGAGGTGCTGCCTGTTTATTAGGTGCTAACCATATCCTGGACTAAATAAACTTGAAGGTCAAAGGCCAAGGTGTTTATAGGTAGTAAAGTCAGAGGCTGATGTGCAAGATCTTTATCAGTACAGGATATGATTATTACCAAGTTACGGGGAACCACCCTCCAGATGTTTCTGTTTCTTAACAGCTTATACGTCTGTACTTTCATCAGTTTAGAGATGAGAGTTTAATACTTTGAAGAGATTTAAAATTTAAGACTTCATATGCATCTACAATGCTTTCTTAAATATGTATAGTTTTGGGTATAAAAATTGTAGCAGATTTCATCAGCGTAATTTCCATCCCTTCTGTCCTTTAATTTTTGTACAGATGTATGCAAAGAATGAGTGATCCCTTTGTACAGAGTTAAAGATAAGAAAGTCTTTTTTTTAATTGCTGTTTTTCCTTATATCATCTCTGGACAGCAAACATCATTTCGAATTAACTGAAAGTTTATTTACTTGTTGTTTTCTTCTGTAATTTGAAGCCTGTGATGATAGGTGTAATGAAACTTGAGCAGAAGAGAAAGTCGGTGTGTTTAGAAAACATAACTGAATTTCCAAAGAAGTAGGTTGGGTAGCTTAGCATTCTATTTCACACCTCTTGGAAACAGTGGGGAACTAAGGTCATGTAGGAGTAATAAACTGGAAGGGAAGTTGAGCAGTAAGTGAGAATTAATGTTGCTGTTTCTTCCAGTTGTGTAAATACGCAACTTGGTGTAATCCAGTTCAACATAGATGTGGCATACTGGATTGAGTACTGCTATTGGGAGTCTGCAGAGTATGAAATACCCTTATCATTGCTTGGAAAAAAGGCAGGGATTTGCGTTTTGTGCTGTTGGGAAATAACATTACACACATCAGACCTCTGATCCATGAAGATGCTTGCCTATGGAGCTTTGCCTGCAGTGCTGGTTCATTATGGGACGGTGCTCTACCTCCTCATTATCTGGGAACTCTTTTATATCACAATATAGAAACTAGGAATACAAATTCATGTAAATAGCATGTGAGACTGGAAATTACTTATTTTTCTTGTCCTAGTGGTTATTTTGTCTAAGATCATAGTTTTAAAGTTGAACATATTTTTTTAAGACTCTTGAGCTTTGTATCAATCATAAAAAGGTTTTCCAACAGGTCTTGGTACCTCGATGGGAGACTGCTGCTACTGATTACTTCAGTCTGCATTGTTTTTCCTCTCGCACTTCTTCCTAAAATTGGTGAGTAATTAAAGGAGAGAAGCGAATATTATTCTACTTTAGTAGCAATTACAATTGAAGACTTTAAAACCTTAATGGCTTATTTATTTATTTTAGCTGGCAGGGGGCTGGTGATGGTGGGGATTATTTAAGTTGTTGTAGTGCGTTCTGCCTTCCAGCCCTGCCTAGTTAACCTATTACTTGTGTTGCAGTAGTATTTTGTCTGCAATACTAAAATAAAATCTTTACAGCAGAACATTAAAGAGCTGCATTTACTTACAGCGTGCCATTAGTGGTAAGCCAGTTCTAATTCTGCCTTACAAAACTACATAAATGATCTGTGACAGGCAGTTGGAATGTTGTTATTCTGAGTCCTAAGCCCCAGATACCAAGCACTGTAATAGAAAACATGCCTAAAATGTAAAGCTTTAGCTGTACATTAGGATCACTTTCCTTATAAATTCTCTTTTATTTTTACTGTTATTTTACAGGCTTTCTTGGCTACACAAGTAGTTTATCATTTTTCTTTATGGTGTACTTTGCTCTTGTGGTAAGTTAAAAATTTGTGCACAGTTTATCTATTTTTTATTTTCGTATTGTTTGAATGTTTTCATAAGCCTGTTTTGAAATGAATTGTCTTCCCCTCTCCCCTTAACTTTTTATGTGAAATTTAGAGTTTTCCTTAAGCTCATTGTGTGCTTGTTTGGACACATTACATTTGTTTTGCTGAGGCATGGAAATGCATATGGACTTTCAAGCATGTGAAAAGATTTAAAATAATTATATTTTGGACTGGTAAAAGTAACAATATTTTTGTTTTGCTGACGGTGCAGTGAAGGGAGCTGGCACGTATACTTTTGTTTCCCTACTGGTAATGGAATGGAATTCTGTTTTCTTAGCTTCTAACTATTACTTACTGCAGCTAGTGCAGAAGAAAATTTAATATACTGCAAATAAATTAAATTTACATGCATAATGGAGTGACAGAGTTCAAAAAAAGGGAAAGAAAACTAGAACTTCATTAAGGCAGTTTACAAGATTCATTAATACGTCAATGACCTTATTCTTCTTTCCCGCTGAAAGGAAAAGTTCTTTTCTCTGAGCCATACGGGGGTTTTTGACCCTGATGTTCACCCTCTCAAGGCCCCTATGAGGTAGATGTTTCCAAATATCACAAGTGAGACCTGCTAGGCAGATCTAAGAGGGAAAGTATGCCTTTGAGTTGCACTAATTTTCTTTTTACAGGGAAAAAGTGTGGTAATGCACATGTGTAATATGTAGTACAACCAAGCAACTCGCACTCTGTCATCTAGGTATAGAAACAAGAATCTTATTTGGGAGCCTGGAAAAATGTTCCCCCTGTCCCCTGTCATTCTGGCTTGCACTGACTTGCATTTAATACCTGTTTTACAAAAGGATAAACAGAGTTGAAGGCAAGTTGAACAAACATGCCATCCAGGAGACCAAGGCAATCCATTAGGAACTAAACCACGTGATAAAACCAAACTTCAAAGCTGTCAAAACATCTCCTTAGGGTATCCCTCGAGAACTGCAGTGTTTGTAGGACCTTGGGAAGTATTCTTCATAAGCTGAGCATTGAGGAGCAGCCATAGCCTCTCCAGAGCTAATGGAAATTCATGTGTAATATTTATAAATTACCTTAACTTTTGACCTCTGTCCTATAATTTATCTTTAAAAACAAACAAACAAACCCAAACAAACAAACAAAACCCACAAAAAACCCCGATCAAACACAAACTATAATGCTGAAATAGGCCTGTGGCTGAAGGGAGTTGCAAGAGTTTTAAAACAAGTTTATCTGCTGGATTTCAATGAGAATATGTATGTATCTCTGAAGAAAGCTGTTGTAATGAGTGGATGCATTTGAAAACAATTTTGGGCTCAGAAAAGGCAAGTGTGTAAGCAAAACTTGTGTGCAGACATGTCAAGCTGGTGTGATTTAAGCTAAGGTTTAGTTTTGATTCTCTATCTAAAAAGTAAGTAGAAAAGACAAGTGAAGGAGTACAGAGATTACTGGATTTCTTATGAAATGATTAAATTTGTGTGCTTACTCTTTGTTGTTAAGTGAAAAAGAAGCTGCCACAGTAAATCTAATTGAGGTCAAAATTTTTGAAAGCCGTTCTAGATATTTAAAGAAAACTAATGCTCTTCAGAGAGTATTTTCTCTGACTTCTTTAGGCACTGAAACTCAAAGGCATTAACTGCGGTTTAGTTTTCATATCTAATTGCTTTCAAGTGGGTGATATGTGCTGTTGAAATGGTGTTTTAGTTTGCACAATGTTAATTTCTGTGTGGCAGATATGTTTTAATTTGTTCCAGAAGAAAAACTGTGTTAGTCATATGGAAGCAATACAATTATATTTTGCATATCCAATAATTCTGTGCATTTTCAAGTGCATACCAGCTGTTCAGCTTTTTGCCAGCAAGCCACAGTTTTAATACAGCCTGCAGAAAAGATGGGGACAATAGACAATAGCATGTGTCTTGGTCAGTATGGCTTAGTGAGTGCACTGAGCAAAAGGTCTAGAGGCTTTTTGTCCTCTGTGCTCTGCTGTGGGGTTTGTCAGGTCACATATCTCCTCTCTGTGCTTCAGTATCTCTTCCTTTAAAGTTAATATACTGGTTATAGTCTTCACTTGGGGAAGAAAGTGAAAACACTGAGATGAGCTGATCTGGGAGAAGAACCAATGTATGTAACTGTTAATTCAAAGCCAGACTCTGTGAGATCCTCAGCACTTTTGTTTCTGATTGTTGAATACTTCTCTGACTTGAGTCCGTAGTGAAACAAAATTAAATGTGATCATTAAACTTGTTTTTTATTGCCTGTCCTCTTGTTAGAATAAATATTGGTAAAAAGACAGGTTTTTTTGTTTTGTTTTGTTTTTTGTGGAGACAACCCTATTGGTAGCTTGCTCAACAAAGGTGTTAATGATTCCTGATGGTATTTTTCTAAATCTGTTCTTTATGTTCCCAGAACAAAATGTGATGCAGATTGGGAACCTGCCATATGTAATGAATTATGTTACTCCTCTCTTCACTGAGTGCTGTCAGTACTACTGGGATAGAGGGATTCCTGTTTTCCCTCTGCAGGGTACAAAAAAGCAACATCCCTGAGAATATTGCAACATTTTGAGCTTCTAACTTTATTTTTTAGCAGTGTTTTTGGTGTGGGTTTAAAATACCCTATTTCCACTGGAACCTCTCTTTAAATTTTAGGATTTTTTTACTTAAAGCCAAATGTTTGTTATACTCAAAAGACAACATTTATGTGAAATAGGCTTCAAGTTCCAGAGGAAAACTGTGCTGTCTGCAGGACTGCTCAGCTAACTGGGCTGTGTGGCCAATTTAAAAATCACTTCCTGTTGGGGGGCACCTCATACAGAGGTCAACTACAATTGGAAACCTAAAGAGATTTGAATAATTAAGCAGGTGGGCAGGTATAATTACAGATATTAAATGCACCTAGTGTGCTTTATTTTGTCTCATTTTATTTCCATTTCAATCTGTTCTTAATCTGTATTAATTTAATATTAGAAAAATGTTCTTTAGCTTTTTAGGTTTGGTTTGTCTTGTCCTCCCTCTGCAATGTTTATATATATATTTATATATATCTTTGCTCTTTAGCTTGCGGGGGGCCCTGTCCCCGCCACTGCCAGGCACATTTTACTTTCCCCAAAGCTTTTCCTTCAGCTTCATTCTCCTTTTCATTGCTCAGTAAGCCTATTCCAGCCTTCTCCAGAGCTCCCACAAAGCCTTCTGCTTTGGAGCTTTCAAAGCCTCTCCTTTATTTCCCCTACCTGGGTGCCTTTAAGTACACAGAGATCACCTTGAAACGATATTTGCCTTCTTGCTCAGCCTCATAAATGTCTTCAGCTAGCCAACAAGCTTGGGCTTCCTGAGGAGGTAGCTCAGCCATGCATCCATGGTTGTGGTACCACATCTGTGTCTCGGCTCGTAGCCTCTCACTGCTTAGCACACAAGGAAGAGATGAAGAAGGGGTGACACGTGTGACAGTCATGCATATATATGATACAGGCCCAAGGCACATTTTAGTGTTTGGCCCTTTCCTTCTTCTCCCTTACACACTCTTCTTGATGTTCTACCAGCATGTTCTTGTCCCTTCTTACACTCTTCCCCAGATGAGGAGGCAGAGGAGGAGGCACAGAGGAGGCAGTTTAGTCAATAAATAAGCAGGTAAGAACAGATCTCCTGGTATAAAGCAGTGCCAGTTTAGTGTCAGAAGCATGGTTGAGGGATTTCCATTGATAATCATTTTCACAAAGTTTACAGAGTGCTGTTGAGCAAGTTACTACCTGGTTCCGTACCTGGAGTTGTTGTGAGTTGTTCTTAGTCATGCAGTTTAGGATGGGTGTTATTGCCACGGTGGACTCAGCATGCCACGTACCTTCAGTTTCCTTTCCCCACATTTTGTCTGGAGGTAGCATTTGTTTGCTTCTCCTGGCACTGGTGACAAGAGAGAGCATCTGATCCTTGTCCTCTGGGAAACACCAGTTGGCTGCAAGCAAAAAGGAATTCCCTGAGCCAGGAGAAGTGCTCACTTCCGTGTTATTCTTCTCGTGAATCCGAGTCTTTAATTAAGTTTTTAATTATTTGCTCTAGGCTTCAAAAGAATTATAACCTCCAAAGCCAGGCAACTACAATAGGAAATTAATTAGGGTGAGGAGAGCAATGCAACTATCATTTTAAACTAGACTCCTGAAAAAGGAGGTAACATTTCTTACTTTAATTTCCCTTTGATTTTCAGCCCTGTTACTTGGCAGTCCCTAAACCAGCAGGGTGTAGCTAAAGCCCCAATGACATTCTGGGACAATAATTGCATTTATTGTTTTTCCTTTGCTTTCTAGTCCAAACCATATGTTTCTGCCTTTTAAGATTAGCCCTGGGCTCTGCTCTATCTCTGTTACGGGTTTGTCTGTTTAGGGAGAGAGCCTGGGACAGCTAACACAGCAGCTATGCTGTGAGGGAGGCAGTCAGTGTGGAGCACAGTGTGAATGCAGAGTGCTGGTTGTATTTCAGTTAATGTCAGAGCTCCTTTCAGTGTACCACCTCCACACAGGCACACCATGAGGCTGCCAGCTGTGTGTAGTAAGCAGCTGTATGGAATGGCACTGACAAGTTTTTTCTGTCAAATCTCCTTCTTGTGGCCTAACTATTTACCAGTCAAGCCTGTTAATTTACTGTGGGTGTAGCAATCTGCTGTGTTTACCAACAGTCTGATAATTTAGCTATGTATATCTAAATTTAAACTGATTTTTAGGGTACCATTCATACATTAAATATGGTGTCTTTGCAGGTTATGATAAAAAAATGGTCAATCCCGTGTCCTCTACCTCTAAATAGTGCCATAGAGATTTTACAGGTAAAGTACATGCTGTTTTGAAGTTCTCCTAATTTTTTTAGTAACTGTAATGCTTTTTTTGCATTAACACTTTCAGAATTACTTGTAATTTAAATTCTCTCTTTTTTTAATCATGACAGAAACTGAAAAGTTTTGTGTCTGTGGTTTGGGCTTATTCTTTCATTAAGCCATTTTTTTGCATGTCTATCTTACAGGTTTCAAATTCTACTGGGGATTGTAAAGCAAAGCTCTTTCATATTTCAAAAGAGGTAATCTCTATTAACAATACACAGACTTAAAGGGGGGTGGTGGTTTTTAAAGAATTGGGTTTTAAATTCTATCCAGGGTAAGCTATTCTTCTGTAAAACTAGTTATGGGCTGCTGAAATATTTCCTATACCTGCTGCCAAGTGTTATCCAGTCTCACTCTTTCTTTTTTATGTGAAGGCTGGCTGTCCAAGTTAACATTTATGAAAACATTTCACAAATATGACCAAAGTTATAAAGAATAACAGATGCAGTGGTGGTCAACTTCATGATGCAGTTGGATCAAGCCAACTTAACATGCCCTCAGGTGGAAGTCAGTGCTACTTGACTGTATGAACACTTTTAGTTCCTCATGAGGTAGAACAGGTTTCCTGAAACAGCCTGGACCTAACTTTAGTTTTTTCTTACCTGAAGCTAATTCTTCAGGCCTAATGCAATCTTGTGCATTTATTTCATTGGATGCCAGCTCTGGTATTTGTTAATTAATGTGGCATCTAAATCATGTCACCACCCATCAAGGCTTGCAGGAGAGGAAGTATCACATAGAGCTCTACTCTCTAGGGTGAAGAGGAAGGGAAAAGGAAGAATAAATCTGGGATAGGCCTGTAGCGTAGTGGAATTTAGGAGGGACACAGTTGGTTGCATTTGTCTGAAAAAACAAAATCCACCCCCACCTTCCCAAGGGGGGAAAAAAAAAAAAAGCTTGGGCAATGCAAACAGGAGACAAATGTTATCTGTAGATCAAAGAAGAAATTTTGCTTTGACCAGAAACATCTACTGTGAGATTCTCGCCTTTTGTGCTTTGAAGAACCCTGGGACTCATCTCTACTAGTACTTTTTTTAATTTTAACTTTATCAGTAGAAAGTGGCATATTTTTACCATTATGGGCCTGATTATGTCAGCACAAAAGTGTTTGTTATAGTTCAGTTTATTCCACTTGGCAATTGCAGTAAGCTGTACTAGATGATTCATTTCTTCTATTACAAGTTTTTGGAATAATATACCACTAATTGTGTGGTTGCAACTTTAATTATATAACTGTCTCAAAACTTTAGATGCCAAAGCATGTTGTATTTTCTGGGTGCTGCATCCGAATTTTTGTGAAGGAGTAATAAGAAAATAGTGAGATCAGGATGAAGGAATCAGTAATTTGACAGGTAGCTGTGGATATTAGCATTTAGGAAACTTCTTAGAAAATTTCATTAATGATACACTGACTTTGGGACAAATCCTACTATTTTTACATAAGTACTTGACCTCAGTATAGCTAAAAAATAATCTTTCAGTTGGCTTATAGACAGCATGATCTTTCCTGATCATGAAATAGAAAGCTATGACTACCACTTAAAGAGATATTAGTGAAAAAGCCCCATTTTTTGTGGAATGATTCAGACACACTATTGTGTGTTGTGGAGATTTATCTCAAAGTATTAATGTGGAAAGATTTCCACTGACTTCCAATGCTTGAACTGAATTCATCCAGATATTTTTCCAACCATCTGTAGCAACAAACAACCTACAAGATGTTTTTCTTCTATTCTAGAGTGCTTATGCAATACCAACTATGGCCTTCTCTTTTCTCTGCCATACCTCAGTCTTACCCATCTATTGCGAGCTCCAAAGGTAATGTATGAAAATGCATGCAATATTAAAATATAATTATAGTATTTCTGTAATATTTTCCCTAAATTAATCTTGAATAACTTTTATTTTCAAGTCAGTGCCATCAGACAATGCAAACTAAGTAGCTTTCATGTTTTTGGGAAATGTACAGTTTTAGTCTGTACTGGCTTCTCCTCTCTTACAGGAGAGAAAAGTAGCAAATATGGTTCCATCATCAATGTCAGTACATTGTCCAGGCCTGGACAATCTGGAGAAAAAAGATCATTTGCTAAGGTACTTAATAGTTAATTTTTACTGCTGTAACTGAATCTGCATTTGACCACATCTGATTCAGTGAGGTTTTTTGACCCAGACTCTGTTCCTGGCTCTGAATATATATCATCCTGTATAAATCAAAATTGTGATTTAAAAGATACTCTGGTATGTCTAAATTCCCTACAAGATGGGGACAATGTTAGTTGTCTGCATGAGAAGTGCCCTTTAATTACCAGATTAAAAATACTTTAAAAAACCCTCAATATTACTGACAGCACAGACCTCAGCAAATACTCTGTGGCCATAAATTAAGACGATGCTTTCTTAAGAAAGGCAAGCTGCTATGTAGATTGCATTGTGTTTAATCATCCACAATACAGATTAAGCAACACTAATTTTCTGGGGGTTTTCTTTTTTTGTGTTTTAGTCCATCCAAAAGTAGAATGCAGAATGTAACTGTCACTGGAATTGGTCTGAGTTCCCTCATTTACTTTATGTCTGCTCTGTTTGGGTACCTGACATTTTATGGTAAGTATATTCTTCAAGTATTCTTTATAATGAAGGTTACTAATAAATGAGAATTGCATTTTGTCTGGAGTACTTCAGGCTTGTTTGTGCATTGATACACTTGAATCCTCAGAAATCTTCTTCCTGTGAAGACTTAAGGATATGCCTAACACTGCAGAGTGTTACACTCTCATTGACTTCTCAACGTGTAACGTAGCTCAGCTTTGCAGGGTTCATGTCCTAAAATGCCATACAGACAAGTTTATTGGTCCCTAAAATGTAGCTGATGGTCTGATGATGTTCTCTAATGTTCTGTAATTAGATGACTGATTGCCACTATATGTTAGACTGTGTAATATTTTCACTTAGAAGCTGGGAACAGATTTACCATGATCTGTGAGAAATTTCAAGGTCTGATAACAGTCTGCTTGTCCAACAAGTTTGAAAGGTCTGTTCTAAGGCTGTATCTTCTAGCAACATTTATCACTTGTTAACCCTGTGATATCCCAGCACATTTGTAGTCTCCAAGTAGCACTGAGACTGTTGCCTTTTATGAGGGGAATTTGACCCACAGCAAGCCAGCCCTAGTGTTAGGTGGGCATGAAGGTTTGCAGCATGTTTTCCCTGTCTGGTAAAGCTTGGGTACAAAACATTGATGGCTTCTTCGCTTTGTTCTTGTATTTTTACAAATTAATTGGAGCTAACAGTAGCTATTTCACTAGAAATCTGCTGGACATGGAAAAAAAAATCCTCACGAATCTTCCAATTTTAAAGGATTATTTTAAAGGATTTCACAAAATTACTTCTTCGTGATACCTTTGTTTATGTGTAATATAAAGACAAAACTAGAGGAAAAATAGTTGTCCAGGAACATAAGAAAATTAGAAGGTCTGAATCAGAGAAAACACCCGTCTAGTTCTGTGTCTTGCCCAGTGGAGGGCAATGGCAAAAGACTAGGGAAGGATTTAAAAATGTAAAACGATAAGCTTTGAGCTGGGCTTCCTAGCACATGCTTCCAGTCTTCAGTAGTTTGTGTTGCGTGCAGTTCCTGAGCTGGAGGTGGTATCTGTTTGATACTTGAACTGAACCAAGAAATGCACATTTCTTAGAGATGTTGTCAACATGTTGATGAAGTAAATACACCTTATTATTTACCAAACAGAAAAATGTATGGGATATGACACTTGCCCTACCAAATGTGCCTCAGTACCAGTTTAATAACTCTGCATGTGGACTTTTGAATACTTCTAGGTACAGTTTTTTAGTTGAGTTTAAACATAGATTACTTCATCTGTCTGATAGTCTTGTGTTTCCCAAGTACACAGAAATATTTCAGAACCTTTTATCTTCATAGCAGCCTTTTTTTTAAAGGTCCATCATACCTTTGGCAGAAGTAGGTGGGTGTTTATTTCACACAGCAATTTTATTGTCCTGTCATATAACATCACAGTGGTGCCTTTTCTAAGAAATGTCATTTGGCTCTGCATATCCTGCTGTAAAATTGTGTTATGCTGTGTTTTGCTCACATAGCACATATTGTCAAATTGAATCACCTCTGCTTGGTGATCTGTCTTCTGGAGTAGTTTCATACCAACGCCATCACATAAATGCTTCGTGGTCATCTATGAGGATTCTTCTCATGTCTTCTGAAAACTCGTCCCTTTTTATGAGATGATCACATGCTAACCTGTGTTAATTGGAATGAGGCTGCACCTCGAGTGCTGGGTTCAGTTTTGGGCATCTCACTACACAAAGGACATGGAAGTGCTGGAGCGTGTCCAGAGAAGGGCAATGGAGCTGGGGAAGGGTCTGGAGCACAAGGGTGATGAGTTCCCAGCTGAGGGAACTGGGGTTGTTGAGCCTGGAGAAAAGGAGGCTGAGAGGAGACCTTCTGGCTCTCTCCAACTCCCAGCAAGGAGGGTGTGACAAATAGATGTGGTGCTTAGGGACATGGTTTAGTGGGCATGGTGGTGCTGGGTTGACAGTTGGCCTTGATGATCTTAGGGGTCTTTTCCAACCTTAATGATTCTGTGAATAAAGATTCTCATAAGGGTCAGTAAGGCAGTAAGACAAGTGTTCTGCTGAGGATTTCCTCTCCTTTCATAGCGTTTTATATTTCTTGATTGTGGGGTTGAGATAGTGTCTGACAAAGCAGCAAGTATATTAGCTTTCAGCAGCTAATAATTCCAGATTGGTAGGAATTTTGCACCTTTTTTTCCCCAGAAATGTCCCCTTGGCACTTAGAATCCTTTGAAAAATTATATGGGGACTATTGAAACCCCTCAGAGTGTGTAGGCTGCTATTACTGCTTCCTGACTCTGTCCGTGTGGTTTGTAGGAAAATACAATTTTGAGTGCCACTGGGAGTCCGAGAGATTCAGCAGGCAGTGCAGGATAGTGCAGGATAACCATCTGGCTCCAGATGAGATTGCAACAAAAAGAGGGGTTTTTTTTAAAAAAAAACAACAAAAAAACAAAACCAAAACCAAAATGGTGGTAGTTCTATAAACCATTCCAGAAAGTTCCTGTTACGTTCACTTTCATGGTTTCTCTGGGGCAAGACCCTGTCTTGCTCATGGTCAAAACCAAAATGGTGGTAGTTCTATAAACCATCCCAGTTCCTGTTACGTTCACTTTCATGGTTTCTCTGGGGCAAGACCCTGTCTTGCTCATGGTCTTTTAGTCTGTTTCCCTGGGAACATTTCTGGTTTTCTGCAAGCCTAATTTCTTTTAGTGACTCTTGGACTTAAGAGCTGGAACCAACAGTGTATATCAGTAAGAGATTTCCCTCCCTTGCAGACTGCTTCTCCTTTCACTTTTTGGTTGTCTTGTTTAATTAACTTATTTCTTTCCATAGAGAGAATCTGTTCCCTGTTCCTAAAACAATGTAAAACATTGTATTTTAAATTGAAAACAAAAAAAAGAGTTCCCTCTTTGAAATGAGACATGCTTCATCTTTCTGTGGTTCACATGGTTTCTTCTGTTTACTGTGAATTTGAAACTTCCTACAACAACTGGACTTTGGTGGAAAATCTGGTAGATTCTGAAGTCCAAAAAAGCAGAGAGTCAAGGTATGCCCCCCCCCAAAAAAAAAGGCAGGGTAGCAGACCACTTTCAGGGTGAACTTTTGCTGTTAATTTGGTTAAAATTTTCACCTTAAAAGGGCAAAAGTCAAAGGTGAATAATTCATCACTGATTATGCCCCCTCCCTGGAAGTGTTGAAGGCCAGGTTGGATGAGGCTTTGAGCAACCTGGTCTAGTGGAAGGTGTCCCTGCTGATGGCAGGGGGGTTGGAACTGGATGAGCTTTAAGGTCCCTTCCAACCCCAACCATTCTGTGATTCTATGATTCATCACTTTTTTGCCCCGTTTCTGCCTTGAATAGTAGAAAAGTACTGCTTATGATGGTGTATCCATGCTATATGGTGCTGTAGGAATTCCACAGTCCAGTTGGTTTTGCAAAGCTGAATATGCATGTGGTGGACAGCACAGGAGCTTCTTACTGCTGAAGAAAACAGAGCTGTTTGGGTTTGACCTGGTTGGGTGTGTTGCTGCTGCAGTTCTCTGATTTTCTCTGGGTGCTGTAAGAATCTAAACTGCCAGCCTCCAGGTGTCCTTGTGCGACACTTGCACACTCATTTGGTACAGGGATAAAACAGCCTCAATTGTCAATAATTTTGTTGGGGTTTTTTTTTTTGTTTAAATAAGAAATACCTTTTATAACTGATGCTAGTTATCCTTCTCCATGTCATCCAGCAACATTGTGCTAACTACAGCCAGTAAAAGCACATACTCTAGCGTATTTTTGAATGTTTCTTTCTTCCTTTAAACTAGAATTGCAGCTTTTCTTTCAAATGATGAAATTTTACTTTGTGTATCACTTAATGTTTCTGGGGGGAAAAAAAAGGAAATGCAGTTCAGCCAATTGAGCAAAACTAATTTGTTTCTGGCTTCTAGTTCAACCAAAAGAATCCAGTGTTGACTGTTTCAGACACACAGAACAAGTTTTACTCTGTACTTGGCTTTGTGTCACGTCATCTTTCTTTTTAATGCTTTCTCCTTCATATTTGTATCTTCTCTTTAGGTAGCTTTGGCCTCAGCAGAGGCTCTACAGAGAATTGCCTCCTGATGTTTTCAGTTTTCTGGAGGTTACATATCCTAGTGTATCAGTGATGCCAAAGTGATGTGTCTCTGCAGCCCCCCTCCACTCCTCATAAGTCACAAGAAAATTGATCAATTTGAATGTAAGCTTCATACACACTACTCATTCTCTTGGTTCTCAAATGATTAACAAAGCAATTATTTTTTCTTCTTTTCAGACAAAGTGGACTCTGAATTGCTACAAGGTTACAGCAGGTACCTGCCACATGATACTGTCATCATGACTGTTAAAGTGGCCATACTGTTTGCTGTGCTTTTGACAGTCCCTCTAATCCATTTCCCAGTAAGTACTCTTAAATGTTTTGAAGCTGGCGCAAGCGATGGTAACGCTAATGCTTTGCAGACTGCAGTGTTTGAGTCACATCTAGGCTTGTGTATCTTATTCACTTGTCAAGTGATTGATCAAAGACCACATATTTGCATATGCTCTGTGAGAGCTCCAAAATAACAACTAACCACTAAGTTAATTTGTGCTCTTGAGACAGATTTCAGATTAAAACTAGCCCACAGCATTGTTTTTAATTTAGAGAATTCAGAACTTCTAAAGTGTATTTAGTTTGATTTTTTTTTTTTCTCCCCCCTCCTCTTAAATTGAGTTTTGCTGACTTGGTTTTTCCTTTCTACATGCACGCACCCACACACAAACACACTTAGGCTGGAAAACTCAATTTAATTGTAAATTAAAACCACATATTGACTATTTCACCAAAAAAACCCACTTGAGTTTTATAAATACCATGGTAGAACTGAAAATTCATTCAGTTAGGACCAAAATAAATTGTGCATGCAAAACTGTGCATATAGAAGTAGTGTATAGATTATGTATATAATCTATATTATATATATAATCTATATATGGCAATCTGCTGACATTTGCTACCAAGCATGATCAAAGAGACAAAGCATTATCCCCCAGACCTTCTGTTGTCCCTGCAAAAAGAGGAGTAATTCCTTACGACTCATGGCCACATGATAAATTTTTTTTGATACTTAAGTAAACTCTGTGCTACTGAAAGACAAAACATTTAACCATGACTAAATTTTTTGCATTTTGATTTTTGAAATGTTCTTTCACGTCTTGTATGATATAATTGTTAAGTTTATGAAACTGAGGTAAGATTCAAATATATGTGTATATATGTATTTACCCATGCAATGTTTCTCTTCATATTATGTAGGCAAGGAAAGCTGTATTGATGGTATTTTTCTCTCATCTTCCTGTGTCGTGGATTTGCCATATCCTTGTCACTTTAACGCTGAATACAATTGTTGTTCTGTTTGCAATGTACGTGCCAGACATTAAAAACGTGTTTGGAGTAGTTGGTAAGTTGTTGTGGTTGTTTTCTTGAAACAAAAAATTCAGTATTATAATAAGTTAATATGCTTCAAACTTACTCTAAGTAAAATCTTACTTTCTCTTTTTTTAAAGGTTCAACCACATCAACATGTTTGCTTTTTGTATATCCTGGACTATTTTATCTTAAACTTAGCAGAGAGGACTTTTTATCACCACAGAAACTTGGGGTATGCTTTTTTTTCATGTATATTAATTATATTTAAACAGACTCATTTTAGGTGCATCTTAATACACTGTAGAGCACATAATCCAAGGGGCGAACTTTTTGTTTTCATGGCACTTCACAAAATCTGTGAGCTCTTTCTTTAGTCCTTCGTGATAGCTTTAGTCTTTCTGAAACTCCTTCTTCACAAGAGATTTTTGACTAGCAGTGTGTCCATGTGCCAGACCATTGATGTGAATACATGCTTTTCCCTATAGTTTTCAGATGTTGACTTTTAATCCAATTTCTCCTCAGTTTTTACGCATTGCTCTGATGTTGTCTGGGCAGCTGGGACAAAGCTAAACTGCTTTTAAGTGAAACAGTGTTTATGCTTGTTTTCTGTGTAAGCCTTCTCAAAAACATCCTTTTTTCTTTTTTTTCCTTCTTTCCCCTTCTTTTTATGGCTTCTCTTTTGGTGTAGTAGGTTCAATTCTAATTGGAATTTGTGCAGCAGCCTGCTTTTTGCACTGTAACTGTTTTATCTTCATTTCAACCACTGCTCAGCATAGCAACTTCATGACAGTGGCTAAAATCATAGAATCATAGAATGGTTTGGATTGGAAGGGACCTTAAAGATCCCCCTTAAAGTTCAAATCCCCCTGCCATCAGCAGGGACACCTTCCACTAGACCAGGTTGCTCAAAGCCTCATCCAACCTGGCCTTGAACACTTGCAGGGAGGGGGCATCCACAACTTCCTTGGGCAACCTGTTCCAGTGTCTCACCACCCTCACAGGAAAGAATTTCTTCCTAATATCTAATCTAAACCTGCCCTCTTTCAGCTTAAACCCATTTCCTCTTGTCTTGCCATTAGTTGCCCTTATGAAAGGTCCCTCCCCAGCTTTCTTGTAGGCCCCCTTCAGGTATTGGGAGGCCGCTATAAGATCTCCCCGGAGCCTTCTCTTCTCCAGGCTGAACAGCCCCAACTCTTTCAGCCTGTCCTCACAGGAGAGGTGCTCCAGCCCTCGGATCATCCTGGTGGCCCTTCTCTGGACTTGTTCTAACTGGTCCGTGTCTTTCTTATGTTGGGGGCTCCAGAACTGGATGCTGACAATCTGTTTACATGTAGTCCTTCTGCCATTCTTACGATTCATAGGGCTGCTCTTGTATTGACAAAATAGGGAATCTAAAAAAAAACACCTAATAATGATGCTCTATGACTGTTCAAAGTCTTGACTAGTTCCAAGAGGTCTGGGACATTGTTACAAATCAGCAAGCTACTGTCTCTTGAACTGTAGTTTTATTATCATCTGGCTATTTAAAAAAATAAAGAATCCATTGTAACTTTAATTATATTTTGAGTAAAATACAAATTCAGTTTCTTGATTCATTCAGAGTTATAAAGGGCAAATGATTTATTTTTTTTTTTGCAGATGGATAGTGTGAGTGAGCAAACCAGACTGCTCTGAGTGTTCCCAATGAAACTATCCCAGAGCAGACTGTTTAGTTTCCTGCTAAGCAGATGACTTGTGTGTGAAGACTGAGTAGTTTGAAACATTAAAGTTTATTTTAAAATACACTATTTAAACCTGTTCTTACAGATTTTATCATCATTAATTATTAGAAATGTAAAATGCTTCCTTCAATACAACATTAATTTTTGCTTTTCTCTCTTCACAGGCGTGTGCATTGGTTGTTTTTGGCATTTGTGTTGGCCTTCTCAGTTTAGTTCTAATAATTTTCAATTGGATTGATCAATAAAAGCCTGTTGTCACTGTCTGAACTGAGCTTCAGAAGGACTACAAGAACCAGAGATGTGTCAATACTACTGAAATGAATGCTGGACATCCTAAAGAAAACACTGACCAAAGCTGTCTATGGAAGAAATAAGGCTCTTCCTCACTGTGTTAGCGATGCTCCTTCTTTAATTTGTGTCACTCTTCAGTTATTGGACAATTAATCTTTACCATTCTAAAATTAATATTAGTTTTTAATGATGCAGTCGTGACAGGTAAAAATGGTCTCTTGAGAATTTCTGCAATGCAGAAATAGTTTAGTGCACATGGTGAACAAAAGCAGAACAAAAGCAGAACCTTGAAATAATTTCTCTTTGAAAGACAGTGAGGTGGATAGATACGGCATCAGTCGTAGTGCACACGTTATCCTAAAGCGTGAAAGACTTCTGTTACTTGAATAATTTCCAAAACTTCAGCCAGTTCATGTTAAGAACTTCCTGATTCCGAATGTTTACCCTAATTTATCCTAACATGGATCCAGAAGCCAGCTGCCTTAGCCCAGTTTAATGGGCACATCATGATAATATTTGTTAATTGTTTTTTTAAATACAGTTTTTATACCTCAATGTATTTGAATCATACTGAAGTAATTTTTATGTTAGAAGGCTTTGCCTATCCGGCGTAAAAGCTTTTAGTAGCATTAGGAAGTATTTCCATTTTCCAGTTAACAATAGATATTTTTCAATTAATACCTGCCTGGAGGCAACCCCACTGGGGTTTCACAGGCTTTGTTATACTACAGGGATTCACCCACTCGGGGTGTCTCTGGCAGTAGGGTAAAAAGAGAATTATTTACCTTATAAAAGCCTTGTGAAAGCAGTAAGAGCTGTGCATCAGGATGTGATGTTCTGAGCCAAAAAATTTTTAGGGAAACGGGAGACCTTAAATTCATGTGAATGAACTGTAGGGATTTTTCCAACACTAGGATTTAGAAGGAATACTTATTAGAAATTTTATGGAAATGGTTCCTCATTTATCACACGCTCTTGCAACATTCTGTTGAGTAACACCTGCAATCACTGCAGTCGCTTCATTTTAAACTCTAACCAGCATGACGTAACACTGAAGACTTAAATTATCTGTGAAGGTGCAGAAAGTTGGCAAAGTTTTGTGAAGCTTTTGTTCTTTCCTCCTCCCCCTGGAAAAGCCGAGTCTCGCCCTGCCCTGTAACGCTCTGTCCGTACACAGGCGGTTGGGTTTGTGCATCATCTTAAAGAGTGTGACTGAGAAAATGCCTGAAATACAGCGTTAATTTTACAGCTGACTCCTGTAATGCTACAGAAACACCACGAGATTGGTTTTAATCCCCAAGTGTTATCCTAATTAGCCTGGCTATTAACAAACTGTCCGAATAGGTGGACTTTGGAATGCTGAATACCACTATATTGGTATTTGGGATGAATGGAAGCAATTCACACCTCTGCTGGATTCTGTTACTACATTTTGGCTGCAGTGCAGAAGGGATGGCAGCACGGGGTGTTACAGAATGTGTGCTGGCTTTCATCTAAAAAAGAGTTAGAAATATTGCTACTTCTAATTTTCTATGATGCATGACTCAAAATATGGAGGGGAGAGAGAGAGAGAGGGGCAGAAAGAGAAAGAATTTGTATTTCCAAATTTAGAAAAAGGTATCGGTGTTTTCCACAATGCAAAAGCAGGGTAAGGACACTTGGTTTTATCCTTTGCATCTCCCAAAGACTCTTCTTTGTTGTATCTGTGTAAGGGCTTCACTACAGCTGTGCATTAGCATGAATTTTTTTGTGCAAAATAGGCCTCCAATCTGGAACTCTTCTCATTCATGTGTTGCTAAATATATTTTTTACTTGTGTACAGGTGGTTTTTTTTCCCTGAATTTCCAGATTTATAAATTTCAGTGATGCAGCTTTATTACCTGCAGTTAGCATTTTCCAGCCTTCTTTTCTGAAGACTTGATAGGAGTGGATGGAGGGGCCTGCAGCATTTCTGAACTCACTTGGTAAGGTTGGCTTTCCCCAATGGAACAAGAGGAACAATGTAAGGGATAAAAATTAATTGGTAGCTTTTGATTTGTTTTCTCTCATTCTCCTGTTTCCATTCCTTGTCCGTTTGAAGGCTGCTCAGATTTTCAGACTGTGGTAAGCTGGGTGTGAAGAGGGTGGTCAAACACTGGAACAGGTTGCCCAAGGAAGCTGTGGCTGCTCCTCCCTGGAAGTGTTCAAGGCCAGGTTGGATGAGGCTTTGAGCAACCTGGTCTAGTGGAAGGTGTCCCTGCTGATGGCAGGGGGGTTGGAACTGGATGAGCTTTAAGGTCCCTTCCAACCCAAACCATTCTGTGATTCTATGAAGAGTGTATCCTGTAAATGAATGAGTGCTGCACAAACAAAAGTGCTCTAAACCTGCCTTTGCATTGTGGCCAATGCTTGTGTTTTATTTGCATGTTTCTAGCCAGTTTGTATTGATTTTCATGGCATTAAGTTTATTTAAAATTCTCTCTTGTGTCCTTGTATGGTGAAAATTGAGACACTGTGAAACTGCCCCGTTGTCTCTGTCCCTCCTTTCACCTTCCCCTTCACGTGGTTCTTGCGTTAATACCAGTGACGTGGCCGTGAGCAGGGATGTGCCGTTAGGTGAACAGTCGGAATGATCGTTATGGGGGATGCAGCCTGGGGGAGAGGTGTGGCTCAGGGAAAGCACCGCTCTCTCCATGCCCTGCACTCTTCATTTCACTAAGTGTCCACCGCAGCTCATCACTGCAGGTCAGTGCTGGACCTGGGCAGACCTTGTTAGCGTGCTCATCTTGTCTGTTCTTAGAAGAATTTGTCTTTTTGAAACAGGGACACATCTTAACTTTGTAATGTGGGAAGACTGTGCTGTTTGGAGTTCGTAAATCATTTATGTTACATGTAATACTCAAGGTGCCATAGGTCCTACCCTTCCTTCCTCCTAATGAGAATGAAAACACAGTGGTGCCATGGGATCTGTCTGATCGAGCTGCTCGGGCAAATGTTAAATCTTTGAGCAGCTCGTAAGCGCGTTGTTTGCATGAGAGAGAATAGGGGCTTGTACTTTCTGTCTGTATTTCTCCTGCTGCACAAAGTATCATTTTGGTGTGGATCTGGAAGTCAGTGGCTCAGGGGAGCCCTCAGTCCACACTGGCTTGTTTTGAGCCTCCATGGGTGTCTCCTTTGGGCAGCAGCCCTTCCTCAGCCAAAGGCAGCGCCGCAATTCAGAGTCCTGCCAGTTCAGCAGCCTGGGGTCTGTATGTGGCTTACACTGACATTCCTACAAAAAACAGAGGGAGATGCACATATGTTCCAATGCATCACAACAAATAATTGGAGATTCATGAGGTTGTTTCCAAATGCTCCTACTTTAGCAGATGAAAATTAGTATTTCTATAGTGGGCATCCTAATGTGCTCTCTAATGAAGATTGAAATTCAGAAACAACATTGATTGTTGTAGAACCCCTTTCTCAATTAGATTTAATTTAACCCTTTACCTGAAGTTGTTGTTCTGCAGTTGACTTTCAGGTTGAAAGCATTAGTTGAGTTGCTCTGCATACTGAAAAACCTTTGGACATGTTTACTGCTACTTCCTCATGACTGCTGGTGGGAGAGAATTTTCAGTATTATAGAAGTACTGCCTAATGTCTACAGTTTGTGGTGGTGGTTTTTGTATTTGTGTTACAGCAGTGATCACTCACCCACGCTTCATGTGGGATTGGAGTTATTAAAAAAAATTAATAATTGTATGTAAAAATTACCTAGTTCATGTCAAACCTGTATGTTGTACAACAGATTTCCTATTTTGAGTTCTACCTCCCTCAGATTCCCTGTGGAATAGCCAGGGCATGTTCCAAAAACCCCAGAAAATAAAGAACAGAATGTGTGTAACTCATGTGATTGTCATCTTCGCTTTGTGCCCAACGTCCCTGCTCAGTGAGATAACCAAGCGTTGTCTCTGCAGTTAGTTCCCGACGTGCAGTGGTGTTGCAGGCAGTAGCATTACTCTGGCCAGGGAAGGGTCTTGTTCTTAAAAATCATTCCTGGTTTGGTGGCGACAGCACATTTGTGCACTTAGAGAATCACAGAATTGCCTTGATTGGAAAAGCCCTTTGAGATCATCAGGTCTAGTAATTAACCCAACACTGACAAGTCCCCGACTAACCCATGTCCCTCAGCACTATGTCTACACGACTCTTCAATCCCTCCAGGGATGGTGACTCCACCCTGGGCAACCCCTTCCAATGCCTGAGAACCCTTTCAGCAAAGAAATTCTTCCCATACCCAATCTCAACTGCCCTTGGTGCAACTTGAGGCCATTTCCTCTTGTCCTGTCCCTTGTTCCTTGGTTGAACAGACCCACCCCCACCTCTCTCCACCCTCCTTTCAGGGAGTTGGAGAGAGCAATGTGTTCTCCTTCATCTGTATAGCTGTATGTGATCCCTGCTCTGTTCTACAGGCAATGTCTTGCAGCACCTGGCTTGAAGTGAACATGAGATGTGGTCTGGGAAGCTGCTACTAAGTTGTCCTCCCAGACCTGTCTGCTCTCAGTGCTTGCTCTTACTCTTTGAACTCTGCTCTCAAAAATGTAGAGGATGCAGAAAATAACTTGTCTGGCAAGAATTGCATTAGACATCATCAGAGGTATTGGTTTCATTGACAGCAAATCTGCCTCTTCTGTGCTCTTCTGCTCCCCTCTGTAAGACAGGAGGCAGCAGAAGAGGTGCCGGAGGCTGTGGCCATTCAGCGTGGTGCCCCTGCCAGCGCTGCCTGCGGGGTGGGAAACTGCTGTGGAAACCCCTTTGGGATGGACCTTCTGGTGCAGCAAAGGGAGGGTCACCCTGGGAAGACAGACCAGTTTGTGACAGGGTAGCAGCAAGAGGGGGATGTTGGCTGCCCTGGAAGGGCTCTGGAGCAGGGCTGTGCTTTTTGGCTGTAAATCACAGTGCGCTCCCATAGCTGTGACTGAACCTGTGAGCAGAG